GAGGGGTTAGAGTTAAGGTTAGGTTAGGGTTAGGATTAGGGTTTAGGGTTTGAGTTGGGGTTAGTATTTTATTTATTATTTATTATTATTTCTTTATTTCTAGTATTTTATTTAATATTTTCCTTCTATTTTTTTTTTATTAGGGTTAGGGTGATAATAATAATAATAATAATAATAAATGAATAAATAAATCTAATATAAATACACAAATACATTAAAATAATCATAAATAAATACTTGTAATAATAAATTAATAATAATTAACCCATAACTTTGACCCCCTAAAACCTAAAAAAGTAATAACATAATAATTTATTTTTATTATTATTGTATTTTTTTGTTTGGATGTATTATTATTATTATTATTATTATTATTAATAATAATAATAATAATAATAATAATAATGTATTTTTTATTAAGGTTAGGGGTTACATTTATGATTTATTTATCATGATTGTTTTCTTTATATGTGTATTTATTTGATTTATTTTACATTTATTTATTCATATATTGTTACTTTTTTTTACATTTTTTTTATTTGAGGAGAAAATCTGCTCAAAACATGCATTAAAACACGCAAATGCGCAAAAACTTACCAATTTCGTGTTTCTATTCTTTTCTATGGGAATAACAACATGCAAAAAATGTGCAAATCTGCCCAACTTGAGCTCCAAAAGTAGCTCCAAAAGTTTTTTGAGCCTCAGGCGTCTTGGAGTGGAGATGTGAACCATCTCCTTAGTGTAATATTGATTTGTTTCCCCCTGAGCATTTTGAAGCTTCAAGCTTCACACTATAAAATGCTCAGGTGTGAATGGGGCCTTATGCAGGCCATAGACGGGTCGAAAATCGCAGGTGGCTCTAGAAATGGAATAAACCAAGAGAGACACCAATGCTGCTGTCCTTGACTGCGCTCCACAGCGGGCCTTCACAGCGGGCCACAGAGGAAGTCCTAGTGGGTTTATCCATCCATGATGACTCCTACCACCCTACATTGGCAGACCACCATGGCGATGTGGCGCACTGACCATCTATCTTACTGATGAGCCTGTTTTTATCACTTAAATGTGAGTTGCCTACCTACTTTTTAATAAAATGTTACAATCTGCACTTTCTCTCTCTTGGTTTATCCTTTTAACCATTTCCCGTCCGGCCCATATATATAAACTCCGTGGGAGTGTGCAGCACCGCGATCCGGTGCCCGCTGTGTCCTACGGACACAGTAGAACACCGATCACTGTTCGGGACCTCTGTGTGAGGTCCTAATCATGAGTGTTGGCCAATCAGTGATCACAGGAACTGTAGTAAACAAGATGTCACTTCTGACATCATTGCTTACTACTAGTGAAATCTGTGAATGATCACAGAGGTCACATGGTACAAGGCTATTCACAACAGCCTTGTACCATGTGACAAGCTGTGACCACTCACAGCACTCACAGTATTTCTCAGTGGCTGCACGAATGCAGCCAGAAAGAAGGAGAAATGATTGCTTTTACAGCCTTCATGGGGGTGTAAAAGCAATCAGTGTAAAAAAAAAAAAAATCTTCATCACCCCCCACAAGTAGTACAGTGTCACTATGGTGACACTGTACTGCTAGGGTGACAGTATGTTAAAAAAAAACATAAATAATAATATAAAAAAAATAAAAATGTAAAAATAATTTTTGAAAAATTATAATTTTTGGTTATAAACTAATTTTGGTTCTTTTTTTTTTTTTTTACTAAAAAGATAGCTGAATACATTTTAGCCAAGATTTATGAAGAAAGATTATTTATTTGCATTTTATAAGAAAAACACTTTTTTTTTCAAAATGTTTGGACTTTTTCATTTATATAGCAAAAAAATAAAATTCCTTTTGGTGTATAAAGACCACCAAAATAAAGATTTATCTGTCTCAAAAAAATGCTAAAAAATTCATATGGGTACAGTGTTGCATGACCGCGCAATTGTCATTCAAAATGTGATAGCGCTGAAAGCTGAAAATTGGCCTGGGCAGGAAGGGGTTGAAAGTGTATGGACTTAAAGTGATTAAAGATGGAGTCTGTATGTAAAATATACTGTTTAAATAAGCAATATAAATATTGTGTAAACGCATTATTATTAATTTACTTGAATATCCAACTGAGCTTCTAGGAACATGCAGGTATGCAAAATGAATGCCATAAGAGGTAGTATAATATTTGAACCAGTATTTACATATACATAAAAACAATAGGTTAGTTATTATCCCTCCATACCTGGAATGTTATGGTCTGCCCCGCACAATAATTCCTGGTCTCTGAGGCTTATCTCTTCACCTGGAAGAAGCCGTCGACTACAGACCGAACATCTGAAACAATCAGTGTGATAGACTCTTTCCCCAACCCTCATTACCAGCTCTGAACGTGGCAAGGTGCCTTGGCATCGGGGACACCGAGTGCTGAATAACCTAGCCATGAAACAGAAAATATAACACATTAGCTTTAGGGACATAAGAAGCGAAGATGCAGAATATAAACATCATGTAACGCTTTACACAGAATACAGTATGTAACAAAAGAATGCACAAATTAGTGTGAATGATATCAGGAATATTTCAGGAAAGAGTTTTGTATTTACAAACTCTTTTTGCCCTTTAGATACACTATTTATTTTACTCTACCATTACAGATTATTATCTGGACCCATTAGCCCTTTCCTCTTATGTGTTCCCCTCACCGTTTGAATGTAATCTCACGTGGCAAAAATTCAAGCAACAGGTTGGCTATATAGGAGAAGGAAAAGTGCAGCACCTACAGTAACCAGCTTTTCAGTGCTAGGTCCCAGCATTACATCCTGCATCCCTGTACTCTTCCTTCTGTGTCAATATATTTTAGATTGTAAGCTCTAACGAGCAAGGCCTCTGATTCCTTTTGTAACAAATTGTATTGTAACTGTAATGTCTGCCTTCATTTTGTAAAGCGCTGCGCAAATTTTTTGGCGCTATATAAATCCTGTATAATAATAACAGCAGGAGGTTGCTGGAGAGCCATAAAGCAAAGCCTCTTGTTGACTCTTGAGGGCGCCACCTGATATAAAGTTCTGATGACAGAAATCACCAAGCAAGCAATTAGTTTAAATGAGCAATTCTCAACCAGGGTGATACAGGCCATAGACGGGTCGAAAACCGTCCGTTTTTTAAAAAAAAAAAAAACGAAAAATCGGTCGTTCAATAGGCCGACGTTACCACCAATGGTAAAAATTTTCGTCCCGTCTACGGCCAGCATTTAATTACTTCTGTCCCTTGCAGAGAGCTCTGCTATTATATTTGACATGAAAAAGTCGGTTGCGGTTGCAACAATGTATCCATTTGTATCCATTTCGGATACAGATGTTTTTATTCGGATACAAATAGATACATTGTTGCAACCGCAAAACTTTTCATATAAAATATAATAGCGGACTGGAATTCTTCTTCTTTTTCTTCTTCTTCTGTTTCTTCTTCTTCTTTTTTTCTTCTTCTTGCCATGACGGTGTAGATTTTTTATCGGTAAAACGATCGGCCAATTTGCCCATCATTGCCGGGAAAATTGGCCGATTTTTTTCCAACCTTACCGATAAAAAAAATGTGCCAAAACCCAGAAAACGGCCGACCAATTAACCCACTAATGGTGCGAAAATCGGCTGATATTTTTTTCTGCCGAAAAATCGGCCGCCAATTTTCAAGCCATCTATGGCCTGCATTAGTCCTCATGCACACGGGATGTTTTGATAATGCTGGTAATGTTAGCTGTGTAAAATCACATTAAAACCGTGAGTTTTTCAGCTTTTTTTTTAGAGTTTTTGCATTAGCATTTAGAGGTGTTTTGCTGCATTTTTCCATGTTTGCAGTTTTTTGTGAGTTTTTTTTTTACCAGCGTTGGTCAAAAAAAGTCCAAAAACACTGGTTTGCTGTGTTTTACTGCATTTTGCTGCATTTTTCACTGTTAGAGCATTTTTACAGCTACAAAAACTCCTGGGAAAGTTTTTTCCAGCCTGAAAAAAAAACTTGATTACAGTCTATGTGTGCAGGGACACATAGGATAACATGCTGGGGGGGTTTACTAGCTGTAGAAAAAAACATCAAAAGCCTAAAACAGCAGCGGTAAAAATGTCAAGTGTGCTTGAGGACTTCTATGCAATCCTAGAGTTTCTTCAGACGTTGATAGGGGTTCTTTGAGCTGTGGCTGATTGGTCTCCCATCTGATGTTTACTGCACAGTTCCTCAGCCAATGACCCTTGGCAGAGTCAGTGGCATGGCACTAATGATCTTTTTTGCTATCTCTAAGGGTGGCATTTTTGCAGTTTTCCCATTGACCACCATTGCATTGGTTTTAGCTAGGGTTTCCCAAGACCTTAACATTTGTTCAGAGGTTCCTCTGGAGTGAAAAGGTTGGGAAAGGCTGGTTTAAATAGCCAAATCATTGAGGCTGACAGTACATATTGCGACATATTGGGTATCAAAAGTTAAAATGTGATTTTTAAAATGCACACCTTAGCACAGCCTTTCTCAACCACGGTGCCTTGAGGTTTCTTCAGGGGTGCCTTGGCAAAATCTCTAAAAACTGACCAAAACTTGTATAAAAGCCAGTGGCTGCCTTTTAGTTGCACAAAGCCACAGGTTTTCATTTTGCCCATTATAACCTTCTAGCCGCCAGTGTCCTGACAACCAATGACATCATCAGTTGATAAGGAGGATGTCAGCTGTCTGCACAGCATCCTAGTTTGACCCTCCCCTGCCCTTCTCCATCAGTGCTGGGGTCACATTAGCTCAGTGATGGAGAACAACTGAGGGAGAAGAAAAATATTGGAATATTGGTGTGCAAAAGTGTATTTGCATTGGAAGAATAAATCACCTCCAATGTTAGGTGTCCTACGTGTGGGGATGTTGGTGTGTTATAGAAGCTATTAGAATAGTTTTCACATTTTAGAATGAGGTGCCTCAAGACTGTCCATAATTTTAAAGGGTGCCTTGGGAATATCCATAATTTTAAAGGGTGCCTCAAGTCTGTCCATAATTTTAAAGGGTGCCTCGGGAATGTCCATAATTTTAAAGGGTGCCTCGGGACTGTCCATAATTTTAAAGGGTGCCTCGGGAATGTCCATAATTTTAAAGGGTGCCTCGGGACTGTCCATAATTTTAAAGAGTGCCTCGGGAATGTCCATAATTTTAAAGGGTGCCTCGGGACTGTCCATAATTTTAAAGGGTGCAACGGGACTGTCCATAATTTTAAAGGATGCCTTGGGACTGCCCATAATTTTAAAGGGTGCCTTGGGACTGTCCATAAGGTTAAAGGGTGCCTCAGGACTGTCCATAGTTTTAAAGGGTGCCTCAAGACTGTCCATAATTGTAAAGGGTGCCTTGACCGAAATAAGATTGAGAAACACTGCATTAGCATAATATGCAGCATTCATTCTTAAAGGGACTTAAGTTGTGGTGAACTGCCTTGTATACATTTTTGTATATTGAGGGGCCCATTCATAATAAATAGGCTGTCTTGATGCAGCACGTGCCTAAAGCATGCAAATGTGTAAAGGGATCCCGAAAGATGACTATGCCAGGTGACTACCCTTATCACATACATTAGCATTTAGGCTGATTCATAAAAGCAGCAGAGAGTGTTAACTCACGAAACTAAGCTTAATGAAAAATATAAGGCTGTATTCTGTATAGTCATCTGATCATGTACAAGCCAAAAACCTTTTTATTAAAAAAACAAACAAAAAACATATTTGGCTAGCCTCTTTACTGCCTGTGTGTACAGTCTTACTGCTACAAAATCAACCACATTGTATTAGAACAGGAAGCAGCCTTGGTGGTGATGCGCGGAATGTGATATTTTGTGATTTTCTGAAACTAACACAATCCTAGATACAAACCAAAAGATAAAGGAAAACTTTTTCAAATATAGCAATATTTTCATCACATCTTTACAGCATAATGCCGTGTTTAACAGGAGATTATTGCTAATATATAGTTTACATTTTTAGATTCTCACAAGCAGGGTCCTCCTAATCCATCTTGTATTGTAATTGTCTCCCTTTATTTTGTCAAGCACTGTGTATACTGCTGCAGCTATATAAATCCTGTATAATATTGCTTTTATTAACTGTATACTTTCAATGCCCTCTATAGTGCCATAAATTGTAGACAGGTGTTTATGAATAATAAGGGTGAGACAAACACTTAGGTACACATATTGAACATCGAGGAGATGATATTACAGACTAGATATACCGTATATCTGTATGATGTCTGTTGCAGAAATAGTGTTTCTGAAGTGTTGCGGATGCTAAGGATTCCTATTCATGCGTTAAAATGTATTTAAACCCATAGACAAAAAAAAGTATATATTACAGCTTGCAAGTTCTTAGGTGAAGTTGCTGCAGTAGTTTTCTTTTTTTCAATGAATTTTTTTATTTTTACTTGATGATCCTGCCAGTAACATACTTCTGTCCTAGGGTCAGGGGTGTATTTGCTGTGAGGTAAACAAAGCATTCACCTTGTGCAGCATTTTACAGGGGGGTAAAAGAAACGCTGCATGTTGTCCTCATCACCGGGGCTGAACAGTAGAGCGGAGTGAAGGGAGCGCTGCCCCCTGAAGAAAGGCCGCTGGTTCTCTTGGGCAGCAGAGCGGAGTGAAGGGAGCGCTGCCCCCTGAAGAAAGGCCGCTGGTTCTCTTGGGCAGCAGAGTGGGGTGAAGAGAGTGCCACCCCCTGGCAGAAAGGCCGCTGGTTCCCCTGGGCAGCAGAGCGGGGTGAAGGGAGCGCCACCCCCGGCAGAAAGGCCGCTGGTTCTCCTGGTCAGCAGAGCAGAGTGAAGGGAGCGCTGCCCTGGCAGAAAGGCCGCTGGTTCTCCTGGGCAGCAGAGCGGAGTGAAGAGAGCGCTGCCCCTGGCAGAAAGGCCGCTGGTTCTCCTGGTCAGCAGAGTGGAGTGAAGGGAGCGCTGCCCCTGGCAGAAAGGCCGCTGGTTCTCCTGGTCAGCAGAGCGGAGTGGAGCGCTGCCCCTGGCAGAAAGGCCGCTGGTTCTCCCGGTCAGCAGAGCGGAGTGAAGGGAGCGCTGCCCCTGGCAGAAAGGCCGCTGGTTCTCCTGGTCAGCAGAGTGGAGTGAAGGGAGCGCTGCCCCTGGCAGAAAGGCCGCTGGTTCTCCTGGGCAGCAGAGCGGAGTGAAGGGAACTCCATCCCCCCGGAAGAATGGCCGCTGGTTCTTCTGGGCAGCAGAGCGGAGTGATGGGAGCAGTCGTGAAACTCCAGGAACAGAGCCGCTGTGATAGTGAGTCTCTCTCCGTGGGGAAGGGGAGAGGGGGTGTTGCGGAGGGCGTGGTGTGCAAGTGGGTTGAAGGTGGGGGGGCTGATGGGCAGCAGCAGGGGCCAGGGGCGGCAATTATTTGTGTTGCGTAGGGCAGCACAAATTCTAAATACACTCCTGCCTAGGGTGACAATGATCACTCACTGTACTTTATTTCTGGAGAAGCAGTATTGTCACCCAAAACTGCTCACTCTTAATTTGAACTACAAAACTCTTCTCCCTTTCTTATCTCCATTAAATAGAAGAAAGTGTTCTGTAGTTTGCAGTGGATAACTGGGCAGGGTTGATAACATTGCTTGGGCTTTCAGTACGTTAGAGATAGGGAGCACAAAATATTATTGTATTTCTGGCAGGATCAACAGGTGTTTTTTTTACATTTATCAAACAGATATAAGAATATTCTTTAAAAGTTAAGGACTAAAAAGAGACATTCACTGTTAGGGTTTACATACATTTTAAGGTTAAACTGTGGGTATACATTTTGGTTAATAATAAACAGAAAAATGTAGATCACAGCTGGAAATCAGAGTAGCTCTCATTTTAATGTATATCCTAAAATAAAAAAGCTAACAATTAGAATCTGCTCTAGTCAACAGACACATTTACATGTATTTCATCCAAAATCAGCTTTAGTACCTGTAAATAAAACAGTACAGGATGCCTTGATCATACCTGGCCAAGATAAATTTTAGGGCTGCCTCACATTTGTGTGCTACGTTCGGCGTATTGTGTTTTACATGCGTTTTACGTGCATTTTAGGTGCGTTACCATTGAACTCTATATGACGTGCATTTTCATAAAAGCACATCAAGGCTGCAGCAAGCAGGACTTTTTTTAAATGAAATACATATAAAACACACGTGTAAATGAGGGACTTAAGCAAACTTCAAATATAAATATAAATACAGTATTCTGAAAATGAATGATTAAAACTACTGGTAACTTCCTTACAAATGGCTTTAATTCATCCATTGTATAAATGGCAGCTCTGTACATTAAACTGAAAATGCTAAAATAAACTCTGCATAAATATATGCCTGTATTTTGGTTAAATAAAATGACAAATTCACCATCATAATACAAAAGGCAATCTGAAGTGTAGGAGCGGTTTGCCTAAGATGGCAGTTCAGTTGTCATACATAAGGGTCAGAGTGGGACACACAGGGTTCCCCTCCACAGTAAGACATAGGACATGGTCAGAACTGGAACACATTCATACAAGTTGCCAAACACATAATCTGGAAGACCTTTATTGCCGTCTCACATGACAGATGTATATATATCCCAAGCTTCTCCCTTCCTATGGAACTCTCTACCCCAATCTGTCCAGCTGTCTCCTAATCTATCCACCTTTAGACGATCCCTGAAAATCTCTCTCTTTAAAGGAGTCTATCCTGCTTCTACCTAGTAAACCGCCATTTATTTCCTCCATCAGCTCATCCCCCCACAGCTATTACCTTTTGTATCACTCAACCCTTCCTCCTAGATTGTAAGCTCTAACGAGCAGGGCCCTCTGTTTCCTCTTGTACCAAATTGTATTGTAACTATAATGTCTGTCTTCATTTTGTAAAGCGCTGAGCAAACTATTGGCGCTATATAAATCCTGTATAATAATAATAATAATAAAACCAGTGTGGCAAATGGCAGCTCTGATGCAGAGGTTTGGGTAAAGCTGAACTTCAGCTAGATATGAAAACACCAACGATACAGTTCTAGTTTTATAACAAAACATTAAATGTCTGATAGTTAAATGATGGTAGTATAAATATCATAATTTTATTCATGTCATCCTGTAATCCCCTATGCAGCAGCAGACAGACTGGAGAGGAAAGGGCATTACTACAGGTCTATCAGGTGTCCTGCATTCACATGTGCTGACAGAGTGCTTGCTTACAGGAGGAGATAGCAGAGAGGTGACCTCATAATTCTGTTGCTGCTTTCTAGCTGTTGGGAACAGAGGGGTAACCTAGTTGTTTAAAAGAAAAGTTCAAGAATTTAAAAAAAACAAAAGCACATGCTCACCTAGATGGCTGCAGCATCAATCCAATGCTGAATATGTCATCCGCTACCTCTAAAACTGAGAATTGAGTGAACAAAGACCACCGATCGCTTAGCTCCCGGTCAGTGAGCAGAGAGCCGGTGACTGACAGTGCAGGGTGCAGGAATGGCTGGCTTCGGGCCCCCAGTACCATGCTAAGAGGGTGAGCCAGCTGCCAGTCAGGCATCTGGGTGGATCCTAACACTAAAGTCGGGATCTCTCCAGTGCCTGAAATGGCTCAGTTAGGTCAGCCAACAGCAGACTTTAGCCCGCTGTCAGCTGAATATGGGTTACGGGAGTGCACCTAGTTCTAAACTCCTGTAACCCATATTCAGAGCTCTGGTGCTTTGCAACAGAGAAAGCTCAAGTCACCAAAGTGGCTTTGCTTTCTATCACAACAATGTACATCTCAGGACTGGGTAGACATAAAGGCTAATCCTTTGGGAGGTAAAAAGAAGCTACTATGTATGTATTTCAGTGGTCTGTTGCCTGCAGTTCAGCTATAAGTAACAGAGATTCCTTGAAGTGAATGCAGGAAGAATTTAACCATCATCTTGCATGGCTAGATCTTCTGTAAACCTACCAACCCCAATGTAGTCCAGAAATGTTGGACAATGAGATCTGGTCTTGCACAGCCTTCCAAGGGTGCACTCACACTGGCACTTTTAACTGGTCCCGGATGTGGTTGCACCCCAGACACCCCCCCCCCACTGCGCTCTGAACCACACCCAGGATCAGTTAGGTGTACCAGGACCACCTGTAAGAGGTGGTCCTAAGCATGGTTCACTTGTGGTCCGGTATGGTTTACTTCAGTGTTTGTGAAAACCGTGCCAGAGCACAGAACTCCCCATACATGACTGTGTACAGAAGCGGGGATCACTGTGGCCTGCATGACATAAGTGTGCCCAGGAACACTTCCTTCTATTCTAGAGCGATAGAAGACCAGTGGGGGAGTGGGGACAAGTGAACCTGGACATGGTTCAGTTATACCGGCCCCGTTATGAATGCACCTTAAGTGATGCAATTTACATAAATATATTGTGTGATTGTGTTTAGTTAACAATACTCCATGAGTTATATGCTTGCACACAAAAATAAAAACATAGGTCTAGCATCAAATCTGCACACAAAATAGATGAATTTACCCGTAGGCACGATATTTACACAGCTTTCAGGATTCTTCTAATACTCGATAA